CGCCCGGAGTGTCTCTCACGACGGCCGGGTCGTGAGGAGGTTCGTTCCCTCACGCGCTCCGCCTCCTCCTTAGCAAGCATGACTGCTTCGCAGAAGGAGGAGACGGCATTCCAGTCCCCCTCGCTCCGTACCATGGTCTGAACCAGAGCCGGACGCGAGAGGTCGCCGTCGCCGATCACGTTCCTGAGGACACGGCGGTGCTCAGTCCACGCAGGAAGCAGACTGTGACTACATATAAAATATATGAACAATTCAAATGTCAAGATTTTATCCATGACAGAAGTGCGAATTTTTGGTATATTATTTTAACAGATGACCTAGAATATGTTTATGATGTCATTGTTAGCTTTCAATTCAGACACCAAAGTTTGTGTACCAACACCCACGCTCAAAGTGAAACCTAGGTTCTTAGAAATATCTTAAATTCTACTAACAGCCCACGCCTTAATCCAACTTGTTTATTTCTTGCAAAAGTTGCTAAAGACCACGCGATTTTCATGTCCAGCGGTTTACCTCAATCAATTTCCAGTCGATTCCTAATTGATAGTGTAAACTGAGACTAAGTAAGGTTACATTGTAATTATAGGCGGTTAAATAACTAGTAAGTCATCTGTTTAGACCGTAGCAGATGTAATTAGTCGCATCGTTAGTCATTAGGCTGTAATTATTATATCATAAATAGCATTTGCCAGTGTTTAGTCGAGCATTACCTATAAATGTCATGTCACGAGATTTATTCAATTATACTGGATTATGGTCAGAGGAACTTATGGTCAGTTCTTTAGTTAAGCGCCAGTTTGATATTAGTCAGCCCACAAGCTTCTATAAGCATAGAAGCTTAGTAATTAATGTTTCATATTAATATGTAGTATTGGTACATAGTGTATGTACTTGGATATATTTATTTATACTATTCGTGTTTCAATAAATACAAACTTTTTAAACCTACTGTAACACTTCTCTGCATTACCCTACGGGCCAGCCAGCCTACCATTGTATAAGTGGATGTACAAAAAGTGTTAAATATTTCCATTATCCACTCTAACCGGGCACTGTTCTTAGGTGCATTTCCATAGTGCATACAGGGATAGTCGCCGGTTTGTGTGTCCATTATATTAATATTAAAGTTGTCTAAAGGGCCTCTGCGCAGTTGGCTTCGGCCTCTCGAATGCCTCCTAAATGACCGGGACCCTGTGGTCCCGTGAATAGTAGATACATACATAACAATAATAATACTAAGAACCATAAAAGGATTTTTCAAATGGGACTGGTAGTTTTAGAGCAAAGACAAGTTTCTTCAGTTTTTCATATTACTTCAGATGAATGCCATTATCATCATTATATTCATAGCACGTAAGTTCATTGTCTTTTTAACTTTTTAGTACATTGATGAAATGAGAAGGAACGGGGTGGTTTTTAGTCAGTAAGAGTCTGACACTCCCTCTCGCCTCACCCAGGCGGGAACAGACAATCCATGATTTTCCCGCCTTAAAAAAAACATTCACGCTACATGCTAACCTAACCTAACCTATACAATTCCTATCTATACCTCTACAAACACCAAGCTTTATCTTTAGTCAACATTACATAATAATTAAAAACAACAATAATAACCACATGCTGAGAGTTCTTACGCCCTGTCTGCGGTAAAGAGGACGCTTCCAGACGCCTGTCGCTTATCTCAAGGTGCTTTTTAATAAGATACATAAACACGTTTAGTGTTAAAACATAGCAAACATTCGTGAAATAATCTATACTTCGCTAATATTTTCCGATACATTACACTGTTTGCATTGCACTAGTGCTAAATTATTATTAAGTATTATCTTGTATACAAAAATCTAATGGGAATCCTCTTAACATGTAAAATAATTGCAAATACATAGTATGTATGTTCATATGTATGTATACCTAACTTGGATCATTACCAAAAATACTCATTATTGTGAGCATAATAGGTAATACTTCTCATTATCATAAGTAGGTACATACAATATATGTGGTATTTGTAATTAGTTGATAAAAAAGTTAAATTAAAACATTTTATTAATAAATTACACGATAAACCTGTTTACAGAGAATTTTATAATACGTGGGTACCTAATGTATGAGATTATCGTAGTCACAACACTGGAATAACTTGGAGACAGAAATGAGGAAGCCAATTGACATGAAGATATAGAGAAACTGACGCAGATAATTTATTTTAAGTGTTTTATTTGAACAGTAATAAATATTTCACCATGTCACATACCTACGGACATAAATATATAGAATTTGGGTAGTGATGTAGATGACTAGATGTGAGATGACTCATTTATATTTTATGCCTTCTTTTTAGCTTCCTTAGTAATAGTAAGTTCGTTTGGTTATCTCCACTACTAACAGCTAGAATCAATTCATTTATTCATAAAATACTTATATGAAAAATTATGTGTCAATGTTTGATCATTATCTTTGATAATGATATTATATAGGTATATAATTTTGTAATACATAATTTTGGAACGATCTCCATCAAATCGAACTTTAAGAAAATGGATCCAGCCATTTTTAAGTTACTATCATCATAGTTAAGTTAATACATTTCTCTACATTTTATTGGCTATTTAAATGACTTTCCTCATTGATTTACTTTCCCAGGCAATGGCCTGCTATGTTCTTGCAATGGCAAGAACATATAAATCGATCGCTAGAATCGTTACTTCCGATTAATTCGATATATTCACATCGTGCAACTAACTAACTGGGTTGGAACTATGCTTCTTAAAACACCTATTCTTAGTAATGTATGAATATGAAGGTACCTACATATAATCGATCTTCCACGTGAATACATTATAAAAATCGTGAGCAGGTACAAGATTACGATTATTTATATGTTTTTTTATGATTATGAAGTCGTTAAGAACAATTCTGTTGTTACAAAAAACAATGAATAATGCTCTAATGATGACACAACGGTTATAGCTGTTTTGCTTCTGAATCGACCCGCTATAACGTCACCTTGGTGTTTTAGTAGTATGATTTTTGTTTTGCAATATATTTTTTCTCTAAAAATATAAAGGATTCCCTTTTGCGCCTATTTTAAGATACTGGAGGTACTATTTGAGCTTATATTACCGTTACATAATAATAAAACTATAATGGCAATGGACAATAAGCTCGCCCCCTATTACATGGGATTCGTAACATAAAATAGAGAAAAGTGGGTATGACATTGTAAGTACAGTGGCAATAAGTGCCGCAATGTGTACCTCTGCCTACCTTCTCGGGGATAAAACGTGGAATGTTATGTTATTACTTTTCCTGACTTGTCGAAATCGGAATCGTGTTAAATGTGTAACATCACGATTTAAAAGTTCTACGCTAGACATACTACTATAGGTTTTCATTGATTTATCCATCGTATTTAATCCAGGACATAAATAAATCAATTGTAACCTTTGCAGTGATAAAAGGATTCGCAAAAAGCTTTTAAAAGATTAATATAAGTGCTTACGTAGTGACAATCACACTATCTAGAGTGGATGAAACCATCGAATCCCATAAAATGGTATTTATTATCTCTATATAAATAAGTGACAAAGTTGATGGTGTCACTATCACCATGGAGTATATTAATGTACTAGAAGCTCTCTATATCAAAATGTTCAGAATTAATTCATTTACGTACTGTTCAACCACTCTGACATACGGTAGTGAACATTTTAAATTAATTTCATGAATTTAAATTTAAAAATGCGTAGACTCTCTATCAGGTGATGGTTTCATTTTGTATCTGTGGTTTAGTGTTACACTAGTGAAGCTTTTTTTTAAATTTTTTAGTGATTCTGTGTAATTTCAAAAGTTACAGTACTGAAGTTAAAATTGCTATATCTTCTTCTACTCGGTCTTTATATTCAACATAACAACGTAACATAACATCACGCCGGTTATCCCCAAAGGGGTAGGCAGAGGTGTGCATTATGCCACTGTAGAATGTAACACCCACTTTTAACTATTTATGTTATGAGTCCCATGTAATGGGGGTGAGCCTATATTCAACATTTTAAAATGCCATTTCTTGCAGCAGCCACCTTATATAGCAGTACTAGTATATGTTGTAAATTGGTTCTTATTTCGATTCTTTACTATTTAGCCAATCCTTATAACAGTTTGTTATCTGGAACACTAATAACATCAGGTCTATGATCAAGTCGTATAGGTATTAACAATTAATACTTGGCGCCTCTAAGAATAAATATAAAGCCTTTTAAGGATAATACGTTATGTACGTCATTAATACTGATTGACTATCGCAATAGATACATGACAGTATAATAAAATGAGCAATTATATCACAATATTATTCTATAGACTTCCAGGTATATTATTTTTCTTCGTCTGCGTAAATCGTGTTATTGGAAATACCAATATTTATATAAGTTTATTATTGCAAGTTGTCAGTATGTTTACCTGTATAATTAACTGATTTATATCAAACAAATACAAGGATTTTTTATAATTGAGTAGTTGGATATAAACTTTTATTATACCTACCTACGTAGTTAGAGATTAAGTTTAAATCATTAAGATAATAGTGATATTATTATCTCCTGCCTAACTCTTATGAAACAAAGCAGTATCAATTAAAACCTATTTCGGTAAATAAAAGTTAGTAAGATTAAATAAAACCTTAACATCTAATAGTCCACTTGAAACGAGAGGATGATCTCCACAATATGTTATCCTAATACAAGGACAAGCGAACAACGATTACCACTTAATGGAGATTAATGTCATAACCGAAAAAACTCTGAACAAACCGAGCATAAATCATTTGTCCGTGGAAATTAAATATTGACATGCCATTCGTTTGCAATCATCATTATGAATGGAATAAAATATAATACCTATTAACTGAAGGTGTTTAGGAGCTTTTTAGGATAAAATAATATTTTAAATCTTATTGTAATTCTTAAAAACGTAAGTTTAAAGTTCTTTTCTCTTATTTCCAGATACCGTCAAGCCCGTTACGCAGCGAGACGCGTCCGAAAACGCGTCATCTTCAAACATGGAGACTGCAACGTCGTCCAATGGAACGTGGCCAAGCGCAGGCGCCGATACCTTCAGGACATCTTCACGACCCTCGTGGACGCTCAGTGGCGCTGGACGCTGCTTGTGTTTGCGCTCTCTTTCATCCTCTCATGGTTACTCTTCGCTCTCATCTGGTGGCTCATCATCTTCACCCACGGAGACCTCACCCCTCCCCCTCCCAACGAAAATGTCACCTTCATACCCTGCCTCAACAACGTCAATTCCTTCACCGGCTGTTTCCTGTTCTCTGTTGAAACACAACACACCATCGGTTATGGCTCAAGAACAACCAACGAAGAGTGCCCGGAGGCTATCTTCGTGATGTGCCTCCAGAGTATCGTGGGTGTCTTCATCCAGGCTTTCATGGTGAGATTTATATCCGAATGTTTAATTTGTTCTCCCATATTTCACTTAGATAATGAGTTCAATAAACACACGCTGCGATGGACGCTGAAAGACTACATACTTACTGTCAAAACAAATGCCGTTTACTGGCAATAAATCCAAATAACATTGAACTAGACCGCCATAAAAATAACTACCTTTTTAATGTTGCAATGCTGGCAAAGATCTCAATAAAACAAATATCTAATCACTGTTTTATATACAGCGTTTATGAAAGGGTTTTGAGTACATAAAGCTGAAAAAACCTTCCTGCTCAGAAGCTAATATGATAATTTAATATTAAAATAAACTTGGAATCGAGCCAAATGTATTAACGTAACGCACTCTATACGATCCAGCCAGATGTTCTCTTAAAAATCATTACAATTTTAAAAGATGGCTTTTACCATTACGTAGCCGTTAAATGTATCATCGCAATTAAAATTAAAACAACTCACTGCTCGTACATTGCAGAGTATGACATTGACAGTACGTAGTCTTCAGCTGCCAGTACTACACAGTATAGTACTAGTATTACAACAGCAAGCGTCGGACTCGCTATCCCGAACATGTGGTTTATCACGTGTCGCATCATATGTTGTTCTATTTTAGGTGGGAATCGTGTTCGCAAAGCTCTCTAGGCCTAAAAAGCGTGCCCAGACCCTGCTGTACTCCCAGAAGGCTGTCATTTGCTTGCGCGATGGCCAGCTGTGTCTGATGTTCCGTGTCGGAGACATGAGAAAGTCCCATATAGTTGAAGCGCATATAAGAGCACAAATAATCCGCCGCAAGGTATATTATTTCGCCAAAAACGGAGACTGGTTAGTGATTGGGGACTTCAGTCAGCACGCCTAGTTACGTCTAACACGAGTTCACACTGACTCCTCTCTCTAACTTGTGGGGCGTCGAACTCTGAACGCAAATACTCCCGATGTAGAAGTTCACGATGTGCTCTTCAGACTTCGATTCCCCAAGTTTTGGAACAATGTATTTCAAAACGATTCTCTCTTGTCCGTAGGTGGGTCTTATATTCGCGAAGCTGGCACGTGCAAAAAAGCGTAACACTACACTCCTCTTCTCTCGTAACGCGGTTATATGTCTGAGGGACGGGGAATATTGCCTGCTATTCCGTGTTGGAGATATCCGCAAGTCGCACATACTGGAAGCGCACGTGCGTGCCCAGCTTATAAGGAAAAAGGTATTAATTAATTAAATACAATAATGCTATTTGTCAGTGCATTCAGTATTGCAACTACTTATTTATTTGCGCGTTTATTTTTGCATTTGTCTGCTATCTTATACGACCCATCTATGGACGATACAGCATGTTATTTTTTTATTTTTGCTTTATTTTGCTGTTCACACGTCATATTAACGTCAATACACATTATCGATTAACATATTGTGATATAGAGACTAGAATAAACATTTTTAACCAGTATCATTCTTAGTATAACAATATTAAAAACATTAATTACATATATGATTAAAATTAATAGCCAATTAATAGAAAAAATATACTGATAAAATTCTGTATCGGCTGAAGTTGAATAAACTGCACGAGTGTTGTGCAAAAGAATAATGTGTTATAGGTATTCACGTGGTAACTAGTACATGTACCTATTAACACAAAATTTACCATAGTTCACGCCATCCACGCTATGTTTACTTATTGTAACAAATTAAATCATTTTTCATAGTACACAACATTCAGGCTTATGCAGTCGATACTTTGGATATTTTTCTAGAAATCACATAAATAAAAGGCGTAGAAACACTAAATTTCATAATAAGTACATCACCTACTAATATTTCACGCTTGCTAATTTTGATTTCTACTAACAAACAAAATAAGGTTATCATGCAAAAAATCGCGTGACGCCATTAAAATGTTTCTTTCACTAGGTAAATAGGGCGTTGTTTTTGCATAACAACTTTATGAACCATTGGTCATGACTAAGTCTAAGCATAACGAAAGCACGAAACATCGATTTTATTTCTTACATAATTTCCTAGAAAAATGCAAAGAAATAATTCTCGGAATTTCGTGGTTTCGTAGTTACCATAAATTTTGAAAAAGAAGAAGTGATTTAACAATTTGATGAATTTTTAACAATAGATAACTAGAGAGGGTGAGGTGCTGCCGTTCTACCAGCAAGAGTTGAAGGTTGGTGCTGATGGAGAGGAAGACAGACTGATGTTCATATGGCCGATGACCATAGTCCACAAGATCAATGAGAAGTCGCCATTGTATAATCTATCCGCGTCCGACATGCTCAGAGAGAGATTTGAGATCGTCGTTATGTTGGGTAAGTTCAAATATTATAAAAATTACATGGTTTTACACATTGCTAAGTTCATTAGCATCTGTTTTCGATGACTGACCTCATAGTATAAATAAGTTTGACAGAGAAATCTAGAAAAGTTTTAATTACATCTTAAATCTAGATAGAAACTTCTAAAACAGTAACGGAAACGATACTATATCTTATTTACCATCTAATCTCTAAATAAAATTCACGTACGTAGTTTGTAGCTCTATCAACTCGAATAGGTAGGTACCTATATTACCAAGTGTGTGTATAATGTAGCACTTGGGCGGTAGTGCAAGCCAATATCCTACTACTAAAACAATGCAATGTGTCTACCATCTGTCAACACCACATATTTTAACGTAAAAACTAACAAAGGTGAACAAAGATGCAATGAATAATCTTGTTTCTTGGAAAACAAACTATAATACAACTATTTAAGATAGAACAACAACTGATTTCGAAAACGTTTTAAAATTCTCTAGAATCCATTCGAATTTTAAAATAGTTCAACTGACATTCGAATTTTGTATTCTTTTTTAATAATATCTGGCAACATAGCATCAAGTAGTTTGTAATTGTTCCACAAAATGTTTGTGGAATCGAGACACACGTAATGACCGCATGCTTGCGATGCTTGGCACTTCCTTGACAGAGTTTTGGTAAACTGCCCTGGTCTACACATGATAATGATTATTCGGTTTCATGTATTCTATTAATTATAAGATACATGTTCACTGATAATATTATGAAGACAGATAACATCATTATTAAGTTCAGACATGCAGATAAAACATAAGATTTGTCCCACAGATTTAACCAAGGCGTTTGTAATTTGCAACGGTGAATATCATATTTCTAGGAATACAATAAAAGTTAAGGACAAACATAGGAATAAAGTTTGCATAAATAAAAACTTTCTATGCTAATGTCACAACGAATTCCCCATTAGTGACACAATCCTTAGAAAAGCCTATAAGGCCTGTGAGTCATGTTTCTATTAAGAAATAGATCCGATTACAACTAGTGACTTAAAATAGAAATAGATATGGAATAAACAGAAATGTTTAATTTAATCAAAAATATGTGAATTTTAAAACCAATTTAAATAAATGTTACAAAATGGTCATATATTTTATGAACGTTATTTCCTATAGTCCACGTGGTGTCAATAATATTATTATCTTTCATTTGTCTGCCAAAAATCATATTACCAATTATAAAGTGGATCACACGTGGTTTCTAGAATATAATTATAGATATACTCATAACTCTCGAGGTGTCCGAGATCACCTTAATTTGTTTATCACCTGAGTGTATTGGCAGATTGATTCTGTCCAAAGACCAGAGAGCTTACCCTTGAATCCAATTCCGATCGATCGACATTGGTATTGTAAAATTTCGTACTCTCGAGTCGCTACCCTAGCGCCCATTACATCCGAATTGCGTGGATATTTAATGAACTAAATGATGTTGAGTTTGACTTTATATTCCATATTCGGAATGCTATTTGAATAGGTACGATAGGGGTTGTATAGTTTTGACATTGAATAATTATTTAGACTTTATTGGATTTAAATTGCATTGACATTGAGGTTAGATTCAAGAGTAAGAAAACACACACAATTTTAAATGGGATGTAAATATAATTTGTCCTAAATGAGTCATAAGTCTCTGTATATGTGAATTTATTGAACTCAATATAAATTAGGTAGGTAGTCAAAATCCACCTAATGTAATGAAAATAGAACGATCAGGAAAACACACACATCATAATTTCGAACATTAAATTTTCTGTTGTGTCAAAGTATATACCATGGAATTCAACAGAATCGTCTGTATTTCTTTCCATATCAGGTATATATAATTATTTCCTTGTTTTAGTTTTCTAAAAATTACACCGAAATCTTATTCGACTTCTTCAGTTTTTTCATTTAAGTTAATAACTATAACTTTTGTATTAACCCCTCGAGCGTCCTTATGAGCACCCGGTGGATCATAAGAAAAAATGCTCCATTCTTCTTTCTCTTTCATAAAATCTATTATTAATGTTTTGTTTTTATTTTGACTGTATTTTTTATTTATATTGTAATGATCCTTGTTTTCGTGTGCCAAATAAATGCATTTTCTTTCTTTCTTTCTTTCTTTCTCCAAATGTCACGTGTGCACCCGTTGGATCATAAGGAACGCGGACGCTCTACGGGTTAAGTCTAAATCAAATCTTGCTTGTATCAAATCCAATATTATTACTTACTTATGTTCTTATGTCTCCATCATTTCAGAGGGTGTGATAGAGTCCACTGGTATGACCACTCAGGCTCGCAGCAGTTTCTTACCATCCGAGATCCTCTGGGGCCACCGCTTCGAAACCATGGTCACGTTCAGGAAGGACACTGGAGAATATGAGGTGTGTACTCGTTTCTGATTGGTTCAAATGCTTGTTTATATTTACTGATTAGTTGATTAGGTATTTTAAGCCGTATCGGAATTAGATAAAGTCTTTTATGCAATTTTCGATGTCTCAAATCTTTTTGATCTTATTTGAGATGAGTAATAATTCTATTAATTAACATAACATAACATCACGCTTTTTTATCCCCGAAAGGGTAGGCAGAGGTGCACACAGAAGTAACACCCACTTTTCACTATTTAGGTTATGAGTCCCATGTCTCAGACTCAGACTCCGTGCTACTACTGATATTTTAAAAAAAAACTAAGTTATACTTTACCCGACCGGCCCGACCCTGGAATCGAACCCGAGATCCCTTGCCCGGCAGTCGCACTTGCGACCACTCGGCCAACGAGGCAGTTCTATTAATTTTTTGTTTTAAATTATCATCAATCAAACTATTTTCTAGTTATAAAAGGCATTTAATTAAATAAACTTTTGGCATTGTATGGGTCAATGTCACGTTCGATAGATCGCCAATCTGACATCAATTTACATATTTTTAAGGTTATTGAAATATGTATCCAATAATAATAGGTAACATTTTTATTATAGTTACTAATAAGAAAATTATAAATATAGAGGTAAGGAATTGTTCTTTATGGAAAGCTATTTGCGATTAGGTACGTAATTGAGTAATATAGGCAATTTATAAAATGTATGCCTACATATTTAATGGCGCCGTATAATACATATACCTCTAACTGCCAGCTGCCTATACGGTTAACATAAATTACTGAACGTAGAAAACATCACAAAACATATTATTATATAACATACATACCTACACGGGGTGAATAAAATAAATCCAAAGGTATTTTATTGCATTAATTCTAGTATATTACGTCAATTGCATAAGGCCAAGTGTCATTAAGTCTGATAATGGAATTTACTACCTGGAACAAATGACACTATCGTGCGTAAAGTTAATCTGTAATTATTTACTTGTTAATTAATATCTAGTTATGTGCGTATGTAATTGTTGGGAATATATGTAAGTTTTTTTTATGTCATAAGCCGGTAAACGAGCAGACGGATCACCTGATGGTAAGCAATCGGCGTCGCCCATGGACACCTGAAACACCAGAGGCGTTACAAGTGCGTTACCGGCCTTTTGGGATTAGGAATTTGAGGATTGTTGGGGATTCAGGGATTGGGGAAAGGGGGGGAGGGTAATTGGGCATCCGGTAACCTCACTCGCACGACGAAACACAACACAACGTTGTTTCACGTCGGTCTTCTGTGAGGCCGTGGTATCACTCCGATCGAGCTGGCCCATTCATGCCGAAGAATGGCTCTCCCACACTTGAAGTACTTAAATTCATCAGTTTTAGTGTCAATATAATTTTCTGCTCTAAAAATGAACTTCTTTCGAGCAATTGATATCATCTTCTTTATCTAACTTTATAAAGTCTACATCGTTTATTAAGATATGCATACATAAATAACATCACGCCTGTCTCCCATGGGGGTAGGCAGAGACTATGGAACACCAATTACTACGATTCCTACAAGATATTATATATTCCTATTTATTAAGATAAATTTCTGTATTTTGCTTATTTTTATCATTAATAAAGAATATTATCTTGGGTAATACCCTGACTGATTCTTTTTGTGCAAAAATCAATGTAATTTAAAGAATTTGAGCAGTTTCTCAGTTTTTCCACGAAGGCATGATCATAATTAACCGTACTAAAACATCTTTGCACCTGCCCCTTTTTTGTCGTAGTACCTACGCGGTGTTTTATTTTATGGAATTCGTAAAAAATGTAAGGTCGTACCCGCCATGACCTTAACATGTAATCGGTAAAAATTAAGCAATTACCCGCTTCTTTACTTCCGAGGTTATTGTCATAGATTAAAACAATAACTTGAAACTATTATACTTTGATGACCTTTTTCTTATGACCTTATGCAGTTTCTTCTTTAAGTTCCGGTCAAACGCATCTTAGTAGTAATATTGATGATACTGCTTCAGTAACGTAAATATTTCATTAAGTCAATAATAGATTGTATGAATAGAGAATTAAATAGTCTAACTTTTACGTAGTGTTTAGGTTTAACCTATGTTTTTTTTATGGCATATGCCGTAAACGAGCAGACGGATCACCTGATGGTAAGCAATCGGCACCGCCCATGGACACTTAGAACACCAAGGCGTTACAAGTGCGTTACCGGCCTTTTGGGAATTGGGAATTTGAGGATTGTGGACGGTTCGGGCATTGGGGAGACTGGAGACCCGGGTTATTCGGTCTCCGGTAACCTCACTCACACGACGAAACACGACGCAAGCGTTTTTTCACGTCGGTTTTCGTGAGCCGGCCTATTTTTACCGTAGCATGGCTCTCTCACACTTAAACCTAAATAGCTTAAAAGAAAAAATATAAAACTTTAAAAAAACTTACTTTGTTTACTAGAAACTCATAGCAAATGTTTTCTACGTTCAGTATAAAGTAGAAGTTTTCTTTACAAAAGTATAAATTATGCTAAAGATGGAATGCTTTAGGAAACGTTGTTGCCAAACAAAATAGATTATTGTAAGTAATAATGGTAATCTATTACTATTAAGTGGGTGTATTTATTTACTTTTCAATTGCGTAAAAGAAAATGAGACGGTAAACTTGCTTTTCGTAAATGCAAGGTTGAAAAACAAAACGCGATTAGACTTTTTTCTAATTTTGAAATGTGTAAGATTCTGGACTACAAACTTTTTGTTCTCTTATTTATTTTTCTATAAACAGTATACCAATACATGTTTCAGGCCATATACATCTATATATATAAAAGAAAGTCGTGTTAGTTACACTATTTATAACTCAAGAACGCCTCAATCGATTTAGATGAAAATCGGCAGGGAGGTAGCCTAGAACCAGGAGACGGACATGGGATACTTTTTATACAATCTTTTTTTTTACTTTTTATCGAAAATCACGAACGGGAACGGGGGCAAAATGGGATTGCGCGTACGAAGTCGCGGGCAGAAGCTAGTAGTAATATAGATACAGGAAATTAAGTATTAGGCATATAATACAACATAGATCTCACATCTGATAAAAATATTCTAACACATGCATTCTTCCTAAAACTGACCACTTAATAGCTAAAATATTAACTGATAGGAACAGCTCTATCAACAACGAAAATAGACGAAATTTGATATTTACTCGATCATTATCTGCGAGGATCATAAGTGCTTACTGGAATTATCAAGTACTTAGGAATATTTGAGTGTTCGTGCAAAATATAGGTTAATCTAGCGTACATTTTCCTTATGTTATTTTTATGTGTTTAATTCTATGGTTTAGGTGTAATACGTACCACATTGTAAACAACATGAATAAAATGATCGTATGTTTGTGCAAACATTCAAACATCATAGACTAGCAGTTAATTCTAGTGCTAAGCATATAGGCGAAGCAGAAAACTAAGTAAATATTAAATAAAAATATAATAACCTAGAATCTAGACATTTGCTTTAGGATATTTGAGATCGTTTCATATATCTAAAAAATGGTGTGAATGACATTTACATTAGCTTCCGAAATATCAAATGATTATGTGGAATATTCAAGTTTTACCGTACCTTGAAGTTAAACCTAATATTGCTCCCTTTTCGTAAGGATCAATGCATTACATTCCAACCAAATTCTGTGGTAACACAATGACATTTTATAAACATTTATCCACGAAGGGGTAGGCAGAGGTGCACATTACGGCACTTTTTTTTTAATATTTGATGGGGCGACGTTTGACCACTATCTCGCCTGGTGGTAAGCGATGATGCGGTCTACGATGGAGCACGGCGTCCTATAAGCAACCTATTCACTCGGGCCTTGAAGACTCCCAGGTTATAAATTCCACTCTTTAGCAGTACGCACAAGGAAGCTTAATGCCACCGTACAGTGTACACCGTACAATGTACCCACTTTTCACTATTTATGTTATGAATCCCATGTAATAACGGGTGAGGCTATTGCCATATATCGGGCACAATTCCAGACTCCGTGCTACAACTGAGAATTAAAAAAGGAACCATTAATACTTTGCCCGTCCCGAGAATTGAACCCGAGACCCCTTGCAGTTGCGACCACTCGGCCAACGAGGCAGATTGATATTTTATCTCCCATCAAGATCAATACCGAGACCCTTTTCTCAGTGGCTGAGTAAACTAGTATATTTTATTATGGCAATACTAAATTACATACCTTTATTTATTTACAGGTTGATTATACCAGATTTAACAATACATATGAAGTGGACACTCCCCTGTGTTCCTCGAAGCAGCTGGACGAGTTGAGAGCAACAGTCTCGACCTCACAGAAATTAGGTACGGATTATCAAATATGCATTTTAAAAGTTCATTGCCAATGTTATTACGTATTTAATGTCCAATAACCAGTTTTGCAAAAGAAAAATTCGCAAGTGAACATTTTTACAATAAACTTTTGGTAACATTCTATGTATATATATGTAGATGTTTTCATCTTGGAAGCTAATCTCCATTTACCTTTTCCAGATCGTATGCTAGGCACCATCCCGAAGACGTTCTCCGCGGACACCCTGGACCTGAGCTCCGTCGACTCCATGTCCCTCGACGAACACATAGAAATCAAGATCCCAGAAGCTCGAGCGCGGGAGAACAGGCTGATGGCTCAGAACAACTTCGTTCATCACATCAATGAGAAGTCTAGAAATCCGAGCCACACACATTTAGCAGTTGAAAACCTCCAGGAGATTCATAGGAACCCGGTTCCTATAGAGTACAAGCACCCAGAAGTGAAGGAACATATGCACAGGAGTCATAGTCACGCTAGTATGAAGAAAGTCCACGGTCTGACCCCTAATGGCATCGGCCATGCGGGTAACGGTCACACCGACCATAAACATGATGACCACAATAAAATGAGAAAGTAAGTTTTCTGGCAAAAGAGCTCTTATTTACAATTTGAATGAGATCTTCTATTTTATGGAAAATTTTGATACAAAATGCCCCTATGTACTTTGCAGGAACTGTAACTAATTTTGTCAGTCGCTTCCTGTAGATATTTGTAATGTTTGTACCTATGTTGTAATGTCTGTAACCCACCCACATGTACATATATATTGAAGATCAATATTTGACTAATACGTAGCTCCATTGGTACATAATTAACACCAGTGTCCTCCATTCTAGATCCCCAAGTGAGAACCACATAGGAAACAAACAGCCAGTGATCCCGATCTTGGTGACGTCACCGGCCCCAGAGCCCGCCTGACCCCTGCGAGACCACAACCCGCCCGCAGTCATCGGCGCGCGGCTCAAGAAGCCACACGTCACCTTCTCACCCCACACAGAGAGCATCGAGAATATACACCTAACCATTGATGAAGAGTAGAAGATATCCAATAGAAATTACTGCAAAGTTCATAGGAAAAAAAAATTATATGAGAATTAGTATGACTAAGTGACACTTTTATGATATAGGTAGTAAGTTAGAAACTTTTTTGATATCATTGCAATTTTATTATACAGGATGTATCCTTCTGTATTAATGACGAAATACGTGCTTGAGTGTTCAATAAAAAAGTGTCGGTTACGTACTAGAGGTGTATAAAGAAAATGTTGTTAGGATTGAAAAAAAAGTTTTGTACTTATATTTAAAGTGTTTATTGCTTATGAGGTACTTTTTCTTGTATACATTATGTACTTAGTTAGATAAAAACTAAAGCTTCATGCGTACTTATGTGCCAACGACTTAAAATAATACAGAGATAAATTTGTACCAATTTTCTACTTCATCAAACATCGATGTACCAGATTGGGTTGTATTTAGACCAAGTATTTATTTAGATAATTTAGTCGACGTAGGTGGAGACTAAACTTATAGAAGATTTATGACATGAAGCTTTAAAATCTTAGTTAGTCTTGTCTCCAGTTGTGTGTAAGATTACGAAACCGTAGGAGTTAAACTTGTTCTGTCAACAGTCAAACTAGAGATGGAATTAAAGTTAATTTTAAGGAATATTTATATTTCCGATGACGAATTTAATACAACATTTTTTCTAGAATGGCCCCTGTTCCGAGTGAAATTGGTGACCAGTATCATTGTATGACTAAATTCCAAAGAGAATGTTATTAAGTAAAATAAATTATTTAGCTTTTACGCTTTCGGATGAAATCCAAAAACTATTCGATAGTATTTAAATTGTGTCGAGTCTACGTATAAAGTTGTGAATGTACAAGATGCTTACCTAACGCTTAGTATACAAATATCGTACAAAATACTATTACAATAAAATGTACAACAACTATGTGATATATTTGGATACTTAAATTATTCGGACGAAAGTACTTAGAACTCAGCCCCGCACTGAGCTGGCTATTTTATATCGACACTCCTTCCTCGTGTAGTTAATAAAGCTAATTTAAAATAAGTGTTAGTACTACTAATGCTCGCAATATGTACTGATTATAATATTTTATTATTATAAATGAATAATAACAACTCTATTATTAAAGTGTTATACAAAAACCATAGTATTATTGTATCGTAATTGTTATCGTCAGGGGCCTGACGCAGCGCGGGCGCTGCTTTTTTATAAATTAGCCAAATGCTTTGTCTATTCCTGATAGAATATATCGGATTAAACAAATATACTTGCTAGTTTAAAAACACAATACCTGACTTTTATTTACCTCCTCCACATTTACTTTTGAAAACATATAGGTATTTTAAGTATTAACAATAATGTTTTCCGCATTCATATTTTTTCTAAAGATAGACTTTATCATGAACAGTTAGCGTGGCACCAATAATGCCAAACTGTAGTGTCGCTACTCGATAAGAGATGGCGCTGTATTCTCGTATCCGTTAGCTGAAGTCTTACGATATTTAAATAACAAAAGATATCTTATCATTACACATGTAAATATCAGACACCTAATAATCTAATTTTCCACAATAGGAACAAATATAAACTTAGAGATACAATCGTTTTTTGTAATATTGTACATCATTTTTCTGCGAAGCGAAGTTTTGAATAGAAACTACATAGTATTTAGATATAATTATTATCTACAATTCTACATAACAAAACGATGACTATTTTACATATTCAATGATATTACAAGTGACCTTATAATACTGAAACAGATATTGCAAATATTATCAAAAGAAAAATTTGCATTGCAACGCGAGATATCAATGACTCCCATCTCATCAGAGATTAGCGGAGATTGATCGGTCTGAATACTGGGTTTTATTTAGCATACATACGAGTTTACACATATTATGTCCTTTACGCTTTATTGTTCTTCTTCTTACTACGTCGTCTCTTCGTTTCTTCTTCGCTGGAGGACGATGACTCTTCAGTAGGACTGCTGAAGTAATTGGGAGGATATTTGACAGAAGACGGTCGTCGTGTGAGGCTAGCTCTTCGGAGAGCATCAGCCACGAGTCTGTCAGCAATGTTCACCAACGGAGAGGCATAAGGCGGCAATATCGTAGAATTGATCGATTCCCGTAGCGTTACGTCACCCGGTAACGACGATCTTGTTGCTACGTAACCTGTAATAGATATTGGGATTTTATTAGTAAATATACAGAAATATATAGTTATTAATAATAGGTTACATGCAGAAGAAGATCTCGAAGATTGGAAAAACATTTGAAATGAAGAAATGGAAGTAGTGGAATGAATCAAAAAGAGTCAAAGAACAACAGTCTTTTATGATAATAATGATACAACTTAGAACTGATAGATGGAAATGTTAAAATATATCATTGTATATGATAATGATGAATTTCTTCATGACGACGGGGAAAGTAATTGGGTAGGTAAGTATTGTGTTAAATGCGAAGACAACAGTGAGGATAAGACATGATAATCCCAGAATGTTATCTCTTAATCCAATAGGTACAAGTTTGAAGAGTCATTTGGATGACGGGGTTCGTCTTTTTCTTTGCTCAAATAGGTACCTAATTTGTAAACAATCTTTATATAGCATTTCCTGAAGGGCAACACACTAAATCTAACTCTAAATGATGACGAATAGAGATGCTTTTAGATTAGCAGTTAATTTAGTAATTCGTGTGGTTCATCTAGAACCCAATTCGTAGAATAGACCTAACTTTGTACATAAGGAAAAATATTAAAAGCCTATTTAAGTAATTACTAAGAACGAGTTTAAACAAAGATTCGACATATTTCCGATTAGTTTTACTGAATCACAATTATTTGTTCACGCTAATAAGTTCGCTAAGTTAGTATTTGACTCATAAAATATTTGAAGCAGGAAATGAGCTCATTTCAAAAAGCAATCTATGTAAAGTCCATTGATAACTATTTATATAGACACATTATATGTGTCTATGTAAAACTGGTTACTTCATACAAGTGTTTTTGTCTTGCACCTTGGTCATTCATGATTGTTACATTTGAGCCTTTAATTATCAATTAGATCATGTGAATAAAATCTTCTGACGTAGACACATACGTACGTTATGTTTACATCATTTTTGAAACAATATATTTATCTGGTGCTATATTGTGTCGTAACCACCGTAAGCACAGATCTGTGAATGGCGAGCTCGGGTAGTTCACCGTACCTGCCTTCGCGTTCCGCGCGCGCCTCTAAGAACCAATAGACCACGATAGATGGGGCCTAATAGGGCTGATAAATGGAGCCGCGGAGGACTTAACAGGTTACCGGCTCAAAGTTCAGGAGTAGAAACGCTGTGGTTTTTTGTCAATATGAGTCTGACACTACTTCTCCCCTCACCCGGGTGGGAGACGTCTTTGGATGATCTGGACTGTTTATATACCACTAAGCTTTTAACCTTTATTCTTTTAAGATTAAGGTGCTAATTACCAAGTCTAATTAAAATTGGAACTTAGCTATGCAATAGTTTATTGGTCGGCTTTCTGGTCTCTATTCACAATATAGTTATTTTATGAGGCACTAATTACAAGTCTTTTGATTAGCATCGAAGTTGTGGTTTGGAAAAACAATAGCAGATAATAATAATTATACTCATCTCTTTGTTTTGTACAAATATATCTATGTATGTATGTACGTCATCCGAAAAATACGGAAGACCTATGAGACTTTCAAAGACTGGGTCTGTATTAACCATTTTAATTGACATTGACCACAGATATTTCTGTGACGTTGACATTTCATAAGTCCCAAATTATGGTTTCATTGAAATAAATGCTTTGACTCTATTTTTACCGACTTCAAAAAAAAGAAGAAGGTACTATGTTCGGCTGATTGTTTTTTTTTGTTCGCGCTTTCTCCGCCATTTGTTATTTAGTAGGATCAGTCCAGGATCAGTCCAGCCTAATCTTTCTTTTCTACTATAATCAAGAAATCATACCTATCCAGATATTATTAGGTACCTGTATCACATACGATATTTTCTACACATATTACCTATCTATAGCACATTTTCTAACATACTTAGATAGTGTTTTATCTTTCAAGGTCAAGTTTCACCTTACCTGGGTCTGATCATCACAAGTCGACGTCACACCGCGCAACGCTGACATCACAAACATTTCAACACACAAACAGACAGACACGATAAGCTGACGATTATCTCCACTAATGTCTATCAACAGAAAATGAACCTTCAGGTACTAATCTTATAGCATTCTTTAGTAAGTTGGTTACTATCTTTGATGGGATAGGAGAAGAGAAAAATGTTGCTGTATAATTTTCGTATAGTTTTTTTTTTTTTTTTGTATACAGGGTTGCGTTCTGAGTAAAACAATATCTTCTAGAATTAGTGTACCTATCTATAAAAATACTTTCTAATTTTTTTCGCATATCGTTTCTAAGGTACTGATTTGGAAGTGGTTGGTAGAAGCCTATATTCAACTGTGTGTTCGGAAAAGAACTTCTTGTGATTGTCATTTCATTGTGATTGTGTAAATTAATGAAATATTTGTGTATATTAAATTATCATTTTACCCCTTTTCTGAAGTAACAAATTATTGTGTAGAATTTTCCTAATCCTCTCGACAAAGTTTTCGTAACTTTTATGTAAGTATAATACTTTTACTGCAATACATATTTTTTGTTAATGTTTCTATTGTTTACAGCATAACGGAAAGATAAATAACTGTTTGAACATAATCACGTGTGAGAAAAGTACCTGAAGTACATGTGAGAGATAGCGTTTCATCAAGAAGATCAAGAACAATCAAGAAGCAAGCACTAGAAATATGGAAATTCTAAGGTATCATAAATCAAACACAAATCAACGTCACAACATAAATAATTATTCATTCAATATTTACATAAAAACAACACAAAACGTGACAACACATGCTTATTGTTCTTTACTATTAAAATATTATTATTGAACAACGATTTACAATATACACATATTATGTTTAACACAATTATCTACTATACGGCCCTTTAATAAGGTCTATTTTTCTAAAAAGGAATGTAAAATATCTCAAGTTTAAAAAAGTATTTCTATTTCGATATTTAAAAGGCTTTCGTGTACGGTGTAATTGGGTCGTAACTATCACAATATGACAATAAAGGTCTTAAAGCAGTAAAATACAATTCAAACTTAGAATTAATATATTTAATGATAAAATTGCACGTATACAAAACTGGAATGTATATAAAATTGACGTTTTTTAGCACAACCTGTGAAAAATCTACATTTTATTTATTGTTCTATAATCTTAAAGCTGACTAGTGGCACTGGGTTATTTGTAAAACATTATAAACAACTACTTACAGCGTTAATAATATACCAGATCTTTTTATGATTCGATATCATTCTTATAACTTATACAAACATAATATTCTCTTAATTATTAATACCCAACATTTCTTCTATTCAGATCATAACATGGTAACATTGACGTTACAATCAAGACTTTAACTTATATCAAATAATATGTACTTTTACATAATTATTCACAAATCTAACTAAAATTAATTACGTAAATCTTTAATGAAATTATTCATAATATGAACATTTCGTTTATCGTTTGTTTTCGACGGTTGCAAATAAGCCAACCGACCCACACCAAGACATTCCGCGCTTCCATTTTCAAATATACATTTTCAAACGTCCCACGTCTTGGAACTTATTATACTGAGGTTTATCGTCTTTTTTTCCTCAGTAGATGGCGCTAATGGCGTCCAATCATTCTAGCTTTAAAAAATATGATGTCATTTGTCTATTGGACAAGCGACCTTAGTTCCCCTTAGCGTCTATGATCCCTACATTCAGATGCGATGGCCCTCATTCGAACGATCTCCTTTGTTCGATTTGACAGCTATTCTTAATTTAAAGGGTGACGGTAAAGTCTCCGTCGTTGTGCTCGGCTTTAGGCTCGTGTGGCTCGCGATCTGGCATCTTCAGCATGAGGTGGTGGTCCCCGCTTTCTGTGCGACATCACAAACACAGGCACAGTTACATACACATACATTCAAACATTTCTACTACTCTAATGTGCTATAGGACATACTAGTGCAGACATTCATTTGGCTTACCGATCTTAGTATTAGTTTTGTGCTGGATTTGTAGTCTCAAGTTTTCAGTTCTTACTTAAGCATGTTCTTAAGCATCTCAGTACATGTACTGTATTAATGTATAATAATTCAAGGTATTTTATTCCTCATCATGTTAATAAAAATATCAATATTTTCCTAAAATATTTTACACTTAACCTAGTTAAAAATTTGTACGAAAATATACCAGACAAGGTAAGACTCCTTTTAAGGTCAGCCGTGAATGTTTTTGTTGATAAGAAGAACAAACAGAGGCATGTACATCGTATCAATCTTTGTGAGACCACGAGTTTCGTCAACTTACAATCTTACACTAAATTAGTATCAATGAAAATTTGTTTTACATTAGTTACATACACATATGTTTTTTGTTAGACACAACAGAATTATATAACTATATTAAAGTAAAGAACAGTGGAGAAGAAATGCAAACCATCAGAGTGCAATGACATAATATTACACCTACTATTAGTATTAGTAAAATTATGGTCAATTAATTTTAGGTACACACAAACGTTTTTTAACGACGGTTTTACCTAACCACACTGATTAGACAAAGCTATGTTCCTGGATGATCTATTATTTATATAAATAATGTCAGCAATGAGTACAAAGTGATGTCAAACAAGACCACAACTCAAGAGTCGGTGACACAAAAGATAAATAAATTCTTCATTTCACAGAAATATTAAATGCAATGTAACATTCCAAACAACTGACTAAAATCACAAAAAAATATATTTTAAAAATGGAACCATTAAAATAATGCTGGCGGCCATATTGCCACAATTCAAATTGTTCGTTCAAAATGACAGGAGACCGTTAAACCGATCGTCTTAAATAATCAACAAAACAAATGTATCCTGTATCAAAAAGGGGCAACAAATTGGCAAAATGGTACATCCTGTAGAGATTTGATAATATTGTTCCGACGGGTAACGGCCATGGTGATTGGTGTAGGAAAACTTGACCCGATGACCTTCGCGGAAACGACAGGTAAGATGACAAATACAATAATCCTAAGCCTAAGTAGTGTTAACCAAAGTTTCTTTGAAGTGGTTTATTGTCGAAACTTCGAGAAGATTAGGCCGTAATTCTCCTATTCAGATAAGGACGTCTAAAATAGATATCCTTAATGACATCTGTGCTCTAAATTGGCTTATCAAGATTTATAAACTGAATTCCAAACTGTTTGCTGATTTCGTGGAACTTTATAGACTTGGAAACAGACACATATTTTCCATTTTTCTTTGAATCGAAGAAACTCATGACGATTTTTGATCGTATATTGATAATAGGAAGTTCCTATTAAATAATGAATAATGACGTCAAGATGCAAATTGAGAGGTAATAACAAGTATTTTAAACTTTATTAACTTTATGTTTGAGCACATAATTGTGTAAAAACACGTACGAGTACATAGCAAGTAATTTAAATAAATGATACTCTGAATAACTATTCGCACGTCTAGTGCTAATTGGAAACTTGTGATCTTATTAATAGTTGCTAATTAAAAGTAACTACCAACGATACAAGTTAGTACAGAATATAATATTGTAAAATATTTTGCTGCAAAAATATTTTCAAAAACTTGCGAGTCAGTTATAAACTACAATTCATTATTACACGAACGACTACACTACTCTGAAACGTGTCTACACTAAGTGTTACTAATAATGTCTCTATGGTCCAATATATTGTTGATTGAAAAACCCTTGTTTTATATAAATAAATGCATATTTAAACTACAGTTTAATACGAATTTACAACTTTACTAACCACCACCTACTCGATTACACTTTGCACGCAACACGCATTAGTTCAAGTCGAAAGAAATATTAATTAAATCTGTCACACGATACAATAAATACGAGTCACATACTTATATACACTTGAATTATTATGTACAAATGTGTACAAATTACTCACTTGTAGTATATGTACAGATATATGTACTTCTTTACATGTATATTATATTTACACCTCATATTCTAATATATCAACCATTGTGTATAGATATGTGACACGCTTCATAAGATCACGAGACCTAACGAGACGTGAATAATAACTTTATTATTAACATATAATAATGTATATTATTATTGTTATATACTCAAGTATGCAGGAAGTACCATTTCTAAATAGACTTTCTATGAAATTGTTTTAAGTGCATTTTTGATTGACATGAACAAGTACCTATTATGAGATATTGAAGATAATACAGGTGTTGTTATATTATTTTTTTCCTGTTTTTTTTTTCTATCTTGTTTAGTACTTTGTTTTTGTTATTCGTTAATTGAAAGAAAGTGCTGATACGGATTGAAAACAATGCACAAATACACATTAATGGGTTAAAAGAACTATGAGAGTATGAAAACAAACATCGATAACAAAATAAATTAGAAATTATCAAGAGAATACGAGAGCTGTCTGTTGACCTGAGATAAACAATAATATAATATTGCAAATATCACATCTCTACATAACTATATGGAACGGAAACATTGCAAGTGCAAGAAACTTGCATCTACATAATAATTGTATTTACTGCTCTATGTACTTACTACATGATTTAATGCAAGTGTCGTTTAAATATAAACTTCAATATATGGGTCGAACTGTTTGTTACTAAACAAAGAAATAAGGATAAAAAATAGTGACATAAAATGATTATTTTCTTAAATCGTTATCAAAATATCTAACATCGATAACATAAATACCTCTACAACCTAATCGTACAAAGATTATTGTGATAAATTAACAAATCTACGAACATGACTATTTCCTGTCATGGATAAAACACAGAGAAGCGTTATTAGTTAACTTTTGGCACATATAACCAGCTACCGCCACCACATCTACCACCAGATTTAAGTCGTAAAAGGAACTCACCGATCGATCTACGATCACCCTGACTGCCGTAGAACTCGTCCAACTCCTTGGCCGAGCACAGCGGCGTGTCCACTTGCATTGTCTCCTCGAACTTGGAATAGTCCACCTCGTACCCTTGACGCTCACGATTGTACGTCACCAACGGGACAAACCTGTGTCCCCACATTATTTCACTAGTCGTATAACTGGAGCGAGCCTGAGTCGTCTGACCCGTAGATTCAATCGTTCCCTCCAAAATAACTACAATCTCAAATCGCTCTTGCAACACATCTGCCGCAGATACACCATAGAACGGACTGTCAGCGTTTATCTTATGCACCATCGTAATGGGCCAAATGAAGAATAAGTTACTGTCGCAACCATCTGCATTGAGCTCCAGTTCCGTCTGATAATGAGACAGGACTTCACCTTCCTTGGTTGTTCGAGATCGTATCAGCTGAGCCCTTACACTGGCTCCAATAATATGCGACTTCCTCAAGTCGCCCACTCTGAACATCAAGCACAGCTCACCGTCTCGCTGGCACACTACCGCATACTTTGAGAATAGCAGCGTCTGCGTTCTGTGCTTCGGTCTCGTCATCTTAGCAAACACTATACCAACCATAAAGGCTTGGATCATCACACCAACAATACTTTGTAAACACATTATGAATATTGCTTCTGGACACTCTTCAGTTGTAGTACGCGAACCGTAACCGATAGTGTGCTGCGTCTCAATACTGAACAGGAAGCAGGAGGTGAAGTCGTAAATATTGAACACACATGGCTTCCAGTTAGACGTTTCCTGCATGGGTGGCAGGTGGTCCGGCTCTAAGTCTCCATGTGTGAATGATATCAGCCACCAGATCAATGCGAATCCCAACCAGGATAAGATGAAGGAGAGTGTGAATACTAGCAGTGTCCATCGCCATTGTGCGTCCACGAGGGTCGTGAACATATCCTGAAGGAACCTCAGCCGCCGCTGCGAGATCTTAGACTTGAGTATATTACACTCTCCATTTTTGAGAATGGCTCGTCGCCTCGCTCGTCTTGTTGCACCATGTCTATGAGATCGACTCCTGAAACCAAACACGATCACATAAACACATGTTTATTTACGTTTCACTTGGATGACTCTACAGTATCTACATATCTACTCGCTACACTCCTGGAAGTGTGAATGTCTAGTTCACGCTTGCATCGCCGCGCTACGGCGACTATGACCTTCGTCAATGGTAATATGGGTAATATGCTGCTTCAAACATAGCGAATAGGCTTTCTAATTAACATAGTCGTTCTTAATAATCACGACATAAAACAAAAAGAGGACATTTAGACGCAAATAAACGGACAAAAGCGACACAGTACGGGATGGTATCTGTCGGAGACGGCACGGGGTGTCGGTCGTCGACGAACCTCTTGCTGCCTGTAGTGGGGTAGTAGATGCCCGGTGAAAGATTGCCGTTGGCCGGCACTGGCTTCACTTTAAGCCAGTCGTCGGGCAGTAGCTGCGACTCCTCGCGACATGTGGGGGATTCCGGATCTGCGTGCATGGCTGATGCGGCGTCGTGCGCTCGACTCACTGGCAGCGGACCGTCTGCGCCACCATCCCTCAGTGGGCAGCCTCCTGAAGCATCGCGCGCGATAATGTCTCGGTCACGACTGACTCTCTCGTGCCCGCCCGCACAAAGGCGCGCTAAACGTTGTATAATTGTAACGCGAGATTCTATATCGGAAATTATCAGCTCGCTACGGAAAACAAATTTTAGTTAGTGCCTTCGTTGACGTTATCAGGCCTACAGGATGATATTTTGGTACACTTTGGTATGTGTGAGTGAAGGCTATAAAACTTTAGAAGATTTCAAAAATAATTAAAATTTAAAAATTAGTGCAAATTAAAAGTCTTTCTCAGAGCTAGTAACTTGGATATGTGGAGCATAATTATCGCTGTATTTCCTTTTATACAGTGTGACAGTTTATGATATAAGATTACGAGATTGTGACATAAAATAATGAAATCCAAACAGAGCTCAAGCCACTGACAGTCGTTATTAGCGTCATTAGAGATGCGCAGGCGACAAGTTAATATTTACTGTTAATAATAATTATTTATGTCCATTTGTTCGTCACTCGTTTGTATAGTCACCGCATCAGGTAATGTTTTGTTTCAATATTTTCGATGATTCTTGTTGCATCGGTAAACTAGAGGTACAATAACAATTCTGTTGAGTGATGGTACGTACTTATTTAATATTAACTCAATGTTACAGAAAAATCATATATATGTATTACTGTTTCTACTATTATTCTTTCTGAGTTTATTACTCTTTTTTTACTTGTAAGTCGAACTTTGCTACGTTTTTAGTTCTTATTTGCGATAATTTTGTAAATATGTAGAATATAAAAAATATTATGAATAAGATATAGGTAAGTTTTGTACGCGCCGTAGCCCACTTTAGGCTGCGGCCCAAGGTCTTAACTAGACTTTACTTTAACGGATTAAGAATTTTGGAAAAACACTTGTGATTTATGATAAAAAAATCTCAGTAGTAGCACGGAGTCTGGAATTGTGCCCGATAAATAGCAATAGGCTCACCCCCTATTATATGGGACTCATAACATACATAATGAAAAGTGGGTTTTACATTGTACAGTAGTATTAAGTGTGTGTAATGTGCACCTTTGGTGCGGTGCACAAGACTGCACGGTTGGTGCGGTGGCTGGGCAAACGGCTGCCGTGCAACGAGTCGCGGGTTCGATTCCCGCACGGAACAACACTTTGTGTGATCCACAAATTGTTGTTTCGGGTCTGGGTGTCATGTGTATGTGAACTTGTATGTTTGTAAACGCACCCACGATACAGGAGATAATCCTAGTATGGGACGTTTAAAAAAAAAACCTTTGCCTAACCCTTCGAGGACAAAAGGCGTGATGTTATGTATGTATCAATACATTCTTCAAGAAATTGAACTAAAAATAGACATATGTATTTTAAAAACTTTATTAGAATGCCATGATCACCATCATTTATGAAAGTAGTTAAAACTGATAAAGTTTTAATCAACGGAAAGCATTAGGAAGAAACATTTCTTATTTTTTCCTGCATAGCAGATTTTGCATTTACAAACACATACATATACCTGCACATCATTCGTAAACCTACAATAACAATGAGAAAATCACACATATATTTTATTTTGACTGCCTATTGGCCGAGTGGTTGCAAGTGCGTCTGCCGGGCCCAACCCGGGAATCGAACCACAGAAGGTTGAGCAAAATATTACTGTTCTTTTAAAAAAAATCTCAGTAGTGGCACGGAGTTTGGAGTTGTCCCGGTATATAGCAATAGACTCACGTGAGACTCATAACTTAATTAGTGAAAAGTTGGTGTTACATTGTACAGTGGCATTGAGTACCGTAATGTACACCTCAGCCTACCACTTCGGAGACAAAAAGGCGTGATGTTATGTGTTATATATTTTATTCCATGTGACGTTTGAGTTCACAATACGTTGCATCCGCTGCACCAAATATGCAGTCAATACTCAAAATAATTAAAAAGAATATTTGCACAGCTCTTCTGAGTGGAATAATTATTTTATTAAATAGATAGAGGTTTCTGTGATTCCCTTGTCCTATCTTACCTGCCGGATTACGATCGAAATTCAAATAAGAACACTGATTACGATAAGTATTTACTACTGATATAATAACAACATAATATTCCACTGGACAGTGAGGTGTTCATTTATTATCATAATAATTGCACAATTTGCAAGTATTATTTTGTCAAAACATATGGAAAATTTATCAGATGCACCAATCACATCTGATAAGAAGTTTTGTATCATTATTTCATGAAAGTTATTATCGCGTACGTTAGTAGAAATAGATTTATATACAATTATACACCTACACTTTTAAGGGAATCTAGAATTTAACTAAAGTATATCTAACACTATTACTAGCACTATTTTGTAAATTACCAATATTTTATAAAAACGTAACTAGAGGTATTTGACGACGTTTGTAGCAACCTCTACGAACAGTTCTTTTACATACAACGGCAACGACTACGCGCTACGAGTTTTGCTACGCAGCGTAGCAGTTACGCCAAATAATTAAATAACAAAATTAAAAGCAAACAAATGACACGATGCTTACGTTTGATTTTAAAACGTCCTGTATTTGAGAATAAGATGGCGCTCACCCCAGCCTTTTCATTAAAATAGCTAATTTGACAGCGCGCGAATTGTTACATGCTAATGCGCATCTTTTTCCAACACTAATTTGTTGTTCTCGATCATTTCACGATTCAAGGACATGAACTGTTAAATATCTGTTAAAAGAAGAGTTGTTTATTTGCTTTGTAGATGTTCAAAATATTTTGACACAGATGTATCTACCTACGACTACACAAAAACGCATGTGTACATGATGTATTTAAATACATGCATTACATGCATTATGTTACTCGATGTTTAATTAGTCTACATACAATTAGTTTACTAAAAACTAACTAATAATGACTAGAAACAGATTCTTGGTATCTTACTTTATTAAGAAATCATTGAATATTAATCAATTCCTTATAAGAATAAGTATTGTTATCTAATCAGTAAAAAGTTTCCTGTAGCTATAAAAAGAACAGTTTCTACCTAAACTTGATTACAATAGAAATACTCGATTACTAATCAAGTTAGATATTTATAAGGAAATTTCAAAATCAGTTTGCTAATTTAATCTACACACTGTTAAATCACACTCAATAATCGATTCTCCATATTTTTCCACGACCCCGCCTCCTATGAAAACCCAGCCCACAATATAGCACATACCTCTAATATTGACACATACCTAGAGGTATATATGTATTTAATCACAAAGATCCAATTCTGAATACAAAATGACAATCGTAAATGACGATTTGTTTACATCGAGATTTTCCGTAGAATTAATTTACACCACGCCTTGATGTAAACATGTATCTACACGACATTTTCTCGAATCGTAAATAGTGTAGCAAATTAATCGTGATACCAGAATAAACACCTCGTTGTAGGTGACATCTGGCTATTTTTCCGTAAGCCTGGCTTCAGTTGCTAGCTATAAAGGGGCGCCACTCCTCCATAATTTAATTATCGCTGTTAATTTCGGATTTTACGTCGTTAAAGCGTGACGGCGAGGCGACATGTTTGGCAAACGATTTAATTGTATTATAACGATTCACGTGTCGTGTCTATAGTAGTTTTATATAATCTTCTTTGGTTTGATCTGACATAGTTTTATTAAATCGTGATAATGCTTTAAGCTTCGCCGAAAGCTTACCACAGAAACAGAGTTCGCTTGTGATGCAGTTCCGTTGTATAATGGTTGGACAATTAGTCCACAATTGCCTTGATTTCATCCAAGAGGCAGCGTAGTGCATATTGAAAAGGTTTAAAAATGTTTTTTCTTCTTCTCTTGGCCCTAAAATAGAGACTTAAATTGCACACAAGTGTCGCGTGCTATCACAGCTGATTTGCAGACACCCTTGCACTCCCGCCACTTGAATGCGACTCCATCCAATCATACACTTGACAATGTTAGCGCGTGTCGAGTACCAAACGGTAGGTGTCAGGGCTCCTATGACATTCAACACTCTATTTATAATGTTTGTCAATTGTTTTAAGTCTCCAACAAGCTACTAATTTGTCTAAAAATAATGAAAATGTGTCAAGTGCCTATTTATTTTGTTTAAAGAGCTACTACGTATAGTTTGTAATAATAATATAGACACGAGGATTGAATACGACATATAATTTGATTGGTATCGTCATCCAATGACAATATGTGTTTACCCAATTTAAGACAATAGGTATAACTATTGTTTATAGTTCAATCACGTGTTAAAATGTAGGGTACAATTAATATGCAGTCATTTTAGTAACACATTTCTTGTAACCATATACGTACGTTCAACATAGTTTTTTTAAATAGCCATCAATTTGAAAAAGGAACAACGTTTAAAACCTCATAGTATCTCATAGTACCCTATTAGAAGCAGGCGTCTTCCTCCGCAACATCATTATCTGTAGGA